GAACGCGTGATGGCTGCCCGGGTGGAAGACTCACTCCAAGGGACACGGGGGAAAAAGGGAGGCGTCGGTGTTGGTGGTGGTGGAATTGGCCGGGGTTGAAATGAGCAGGCGGCAGGGATCCCGGAACCACCACCGCCACCCAATCTACCACCCTCAAAAACTAACCCCACACCCACCCCCAAAATCTAACCCCAACTCCCATTTCGACCGACCCCGGGTAGTTTGAGGGGGGCGAAACCTGCGACTATGTAATGTGTCGCTCCGCGACTTGTCTCTCTCGTTTGTGGATGGATTGGAGGCTGCGGGTCGAAACGAAAGGGATTGGGATGAAACGATGGGGTCGGTGTGGGTTGTTGTAGGAGTGGGTGGAAAGAACCCCTCAAACGAAGGGGGTTTTGGGATCTAACCGTCCCGATCCCCGGAACAACCCCCCCGGAACCCGGCCGGGATACGGGCACGTCCGGACCGCGGCGCGGTCGGTGCGCCGCGTCCCGGATTATCCCGATGGGGTTAGTCTCAACACCTACGCCACCCTTTACGTTTTGTTGTGACGCGTCAATTTTTCTTTTTTTTTTTAAATGATTACGATAAAAAAAATTATAATATAAAAAAAAATAATTGCAAAGAAAAAACGAATGCGACTAATAACGGAAACATTTTTGCAAGATTATAATAATCAATATAACTCACAACAAACTTTTCTATACGACATAAAATCTGTTATAAAAAGTAATTTGAAAAATATTTACAAAAATTTATAGAATTTCAAGGAATCAACGAGCATATCACACAAAAAAAGTGAATAACTGATAAAAAATTGTGAAATTACAAAAAATCTGACAAATATCAACATTTTTTAAATATTAATACAAAATCTATGAAATTGTTTGAAAACTTGAACCGAAAAATCGGTAACTGAGAAAAAAATAGGCATTTTTGCTGGAAATTGAAATGAAACCGGACAAAATATTTGTTATTACGGTTCAAATACGTACGTTGTCGATGTTTAGCTTCAATACCGATGCAAATTTCAATCACGGTATTAAAATATATTTGTAATACGAATTAAAAAATACTCATTTTGAAGCAGTGTATAATATACTTTTCTAGAGTTGCTGGAAGCAGCTGTTTGTATTTGAAACTTTTTAAGTCAACCGTTTGTCATAATTTTCTCTGAATTTAGTCCTTGATTAAAAAATTTAGGGATGTTGGATCAAGTTCGTTCTTTGAACCACAACGACTAAGATAGTTCTCAGAAATGACAAAACCATTAAATTCAAAGATACCCGGCTTAAAAGATTACCGAGAAAGTTGCCAGTAAAAAAAAATCTATTAGAAATGCTTCAAATAAAATTGCAAAAAGAAAATGTACAAATACTGAAGGACAACAATCGTGTCACTTTTTCAACAGTAAAAGAGGAATTTTTCAATAGTGTTCTGTTAATTGCATCGTGTTGCTCTCTCTGTTATTGGTAATATCACAACATATCCACAAAAGCTTTTAATTTTCAAATAATATTTAACTAATACATAAATCATAAATCTTAATATAAATAATTAAATCACTTTATTTATAACTTTCATAATTCAAAATTATAAAACCAAGTCTAATTAATTTTAAAATGTCTTATTGGTTTAAGTTTAAAACAAAAAATATTTCCAATCATATTAATTTAGTACAATTCACCCAAAGTTTGCGCAGTTACCTTTCTAAAATGGTGAAACATAACGACCGGTTGTTGATGTTGAGACCCGCTTATTGTTGCTTGTGGCAGCGGTGCAACTGCACCACGCTGACCGATCAAGAAAATGGTTTAAAGGTACCATCTATTTAACAATAATTTGCGGCTTTCGACTACTATTTCTATCTTTCCTACACGATCATTCACAATCTGTTCAATTTCGAAAGTGGAAATACAGTCTCAAAAGAATATCAGAAAAATTAATAACGTATAAGTTTTAATTTAAATTAAAAGTACTATTAGAGATTAACGTTATTTGAATTTAAAGCTAAAAAAAGATAAAAAACAAATAATAAAAAATTACGATAAATGGTTATCTTCTCAGATTAGATAAAATTAAATTTTAAAGAAATGCAATTTGAATCATTTTTCTTGGAAATAAAAATATATTATAGTTTTAAATGTTGCGGTTTTAAATTACTACACGTTTATACGTGTTCAGCTTACGGAACAATCGCGTAGTATGACGAAATCACTTTGATTGCGAGTGTGACGCTTTTATAATGGGTCGTAGTACTTCCTTATTAACTTAATTATTTTTTTATTAGATCCAATAAGTCATAAAAAAATTTAAAAGAATCATTTTTTTCCCTTCGAATCGTTTTTATGACTATTTTTCTTGTATTTAATTTTTTCTTTCCGTTAACCTTTAATGAATTAATAACTATTTACGTTCTATGAAAATAAAGCATTATTAACAATTCATTATTACATCATCATAATCTTATAATTATAACAAGCAATAATTAATGAGAAAAAATAGTGTTGTATTACTATGATGTTTAAAATCTCTTTTTTACGTACAATTATTTTGTATTAGAATCATATACCAGGAATTTCATATAACTCGCATTATATGAATGCAGTAATCATAGTTACGAAACTACTAAGCACTTGCACTGTCCCACATAAAATGCAATATAGCTTAATAATACAGGCATTGTGTAGTTTTGCAAAGGAAAAGTTTTGCTTGGAAAATGTGACGTCCTTATGATAACCCTGAGTTTCCGTCTTAAGAGACGCACGGTTAAACCCGAATGTTTCTGGTTCTAGGTCTCGTGTTAGTTCTACTTTTCGTTCAATAAAAATATATCACAATTTAACGCTAAATAACAATTAAAACTAGAACTAATACTAGACCTAGAAACATTCGGGTTTAGCCGCACGTCTCTTAAGACGGCTAAACCCGAATGATTTTAGTTCTAGGTCTTGTGTTAGTTCTAGTGCAAAACTAGATAATATTAGTTCTGGTGATAGTCCTAGTGTAAAACTCGAACTTACACTATACCTAGAACTAGAAACATTCGACTTTAGCCGTTTTGAGAGACGTGCGAATAAATCCGAATGTTTCTAGTTCTCGGTCTAATGTTACTTCTAGTTTTAGTTTGGTAGAACATAGTGAAATTAGATCTTATCATCAAAAGATTTAGGAACTCCAGCAACAGAGTTACAGATATTGGCTTTGACCACAATCCTTTAGTCGCCGACATAAAACGATGTAAACAATTACATGAAAGAAATGAGAGCAACCAAAAGTGTCGAGGAAACATGGAAATTGTTCCGTGAAGATATTATTAAAAAAACAATAATGGATGACGGAAGAAATACTAGACCTTATTAGATTATGTGTGGTCTGTGTTCTTATATGGAGCTGAGACCTGGACTCTAAAAGCTGCCGTTCAAGAAGTGGTTGCATAGAAGAATGTTCTGAATACCTTGGATAGCCATGCAGACTAACGAAACAGTGTTAAATAGAGCAAATCCCGTCCGTGAATTATTTAAAAGTATTAATTAATATAAGAAAGATATCATACCTAGAGATTATTCTTAGAGGAAGCAGATACAAAATCCTCCAGCTTATCATGAAAGATAAACTCGAGGGCTGCCGCCGAATTGGAAGGAAGCAAATATCATGGCTAAGAACTTGTGATTAGACTGGAATATTATTTAGATTAGACATTCGAAAGCCGCGAACAACTCGCCGATATAATTATCAACGTTGAAGGGACCTGATATGGCCCCGAAAGAAGAAGAAAAAAAAGTAGTGATGGTGAATAGGAAAAGTTTGGGAACCACCATCCTAAGCAGTTCGCCTTTTGTTGTACATACAAAGTATAATTGAATAATTCTCATTTAGATTTCATATTCTCATTTCTTATCTTTACATCTTTACCGGTGGTAAAATTATTACTTTGAAGTTGCCTCAAATTATTATTAGTCCCACCATATAAAATCATGTTAGTGTTATAGTGATGTGACTTTTGTTTCAATATTTAAAATTTAAGTAATTACAAAATTATTGCAATCGTGGACAAAAGTTTAAAGTTCAAGATCGCCCGTTTTTTTTTTAATTTTCATTATTAATTTATAATAATTATTGTGAGTTATAATGTTAACCAACAAAACAGAATTAAACCTATTTTGCAAAGCATTACAAATGCCACGATCGGCGCAATCATTTGCAAATAAATTTTTTTTTAATCATTCATCGTTAATCAAGGTCATAAATAAATTTAAGTAATTTTGTAAATTAAAAACTTGAATTACACTAAACCAAACGAAACAAGAAAAGAATATAATTTATAGTGTAAACGAAGAAAAAGATGATTCGAGTTGAACCGGTAGATCAACTCTTTCAGTGACCGCATTTAAGGGGATCGCGGGGAGAGTGTCAATTGTTGATACCGAGGTGACGCTAACGAACTCGGTCGGAAATACAGGAATCTTTTTTTAAAAATACAAGAATTAAAACAAAAACCTTTTTTAATAGTTATCAAAGAAAGATAAGGAAATTCTAAAAACTATGAGTATATAGAAATATAATTCGTAATAATTAAAATGTATATTCCACGAGTATGAAAATCGTATCGATTTTATTGAATACTGTTCACGGTGTTGGGACGTTATCAAATATACAAGCCGATGAGAGTTTATTGTAAATATTTACAAGGGGGTTAAAAATAGACGGTTGTGCTCTAATTGTAGTAACAATTTCCGTTTTCACGATTCAATTTTAATAGAAAACAAAAAAAAATTTTTTTTCAAAACTAAATAAAAACAGAATTAAAGTAGAATAGATAAGAATTCTACTTTTATATTTTTAAGGTTTTTTTTAATAGAGGTTATGTAACTGTCAAGATTCGAATCTTTTTTTCCAATTTCGTTCTCTTTTATTTTACACCGCACTCTTTCTACTTAATTTTTTTTTGTTTTGATTCTTATATAACCTAAAATATATTAAAATATTTTTTTTCTTACCTAAGGCTTAAATCCACAACAGCTTCATCCACATCCATTTTTTCCATCGGTAATAACGAAATTGCTCAATCACCTAATAAAGAAAATTTCATTGAAATTCACTTGCTTTAATTAAAAAATTAACGATCTCATTCGGTCATTTTTTTGTTAAAAAATGAAACAAGAAGTAACGTTAACAACGATTCTACTCGAACTAATAAATTGAAGTAATTTTTATTTTAGTTGGCGAGAAGGAGAGGAAATGTTAAGGGAATGGCGGTTTTTATCGTTAATTTAAATAACTCCTAACCTCACTTTAAAATTTCAAATATCAATCTATATTCGTCGTCCATCGAAGACACCAATCATATTAACTCGACACATAAAATCTCGTTTTTCGTTTTGTTATCTTTTTAATTATTTAAATTAGAATATATTAAAAAAATTTTTTTTTCTTAAAACTCTCGTTGACAAATCGATTATCTCTCGCGTAAACCGTAAAGGGGCGCTTAAGTACGCGTCACCAATAGAAACGGTACCAACACAAATTTCGGGGAGGCGTTATATATATATTATTATATACTTAAAAAACAGCACGACGCGGGGCTCTTGATTAAAAAAAAAATAAAGAAAAAATTTGATCACAACACCAGCACTAAAGACACCGTCGTTGTTGTCGCCTTCACCGGGCGGTTAAAAAAAAAATTGTGTACACAAATCACAAAACTGTAATTTTAGGGCCCCACACCGAAGCCGAAATTACCGAAGACTGGGTACCGATTCAATATGGCGTGGCCTTGTGTGTGTTGTGTCTATAGAGCCACGCCGCAAACACAGATGTTTTTACCTTTTTCCTACCTTTACCAACTTGCTCCCGCTTCTGGTTACGTATTTCCATGCTTGTACCGTACCGAGTTTATTCATACGACGCACGCATTCAAAATCGAACACTCAGTAAACGTTTTGTCTCACTCGTAACCGAACGTTTTGTTTCATTTTAACGTTGTGACGTAGGTTTTAGATTAGAATTTGTATTTAATTCGTTAAAACGTACCTCGCGACATGAGCGTCCTCTTCTGTGTCACCAAAGAGACCATCCGAAATCCGCCGGTTGTTCTTCTTTCTTTCATAACCTAACTTTTTTTCACTCGTTATTCGTTTATAAATCAAAACCGCACTTTTAAGTTATAATTTTATCTTTAAATTCATTTAATCGATTTAAATATACTTTAAATTGAAGTGATTAAGATATCGGTTGATTTTTATTTCTTTCATAACCTTACTTGTTTCCAAAATCCGAATCGGTTATCGCACTTTTTTATGTTATTTATACTCATTTGGTTTTATACTTAAAAACACTTTGAAGATGGATAAAGTTGAGTATAAACATAATTTTTTTATATAATTATTGTAAAGACAGGAAGTTATCGTTGCTTCTCCGTTGAACGTTTGACAATCACGTGACGGACGTCTAATTAATTTTAGAACAGAACAAGGAGCACGCATGCTGTTTGTTTAAATGGTGGGATTAATCGATATGATGAGTGGGTTTTTGTATTTTTGATAAGGATTTTTTTTTTCTTTTTACAGAGCAATAAAAAAAATTACGAAAAAAAATTAATGAAAAAATAATTAAAAACTGGAATATAAATTACATTAACAAAATGAGATTTTTAGGCTTTTTTTGACATGTTTTAATTGTCAATGTCATTGCAGTTTTTAGATAATTTTTTAACCGCTTTTTTATACATATTTTTTATTATAATCCTTTTCTATGAAATTTAAATAGATCAGTGAACAATTGCCACCCCAGTTAACACTAAGAAAGTGTAATTAATACATTTTTATTATCATTTCTAAAATTATAAATACGTATGTACATAACACTTAAATATATGTATATGATTTATTTAAAATTATCAAAGATTTTCAATTGTATACTATTTATGTTTGGGATATAAATGCATTTTTTTCCATCCTACATCACTAAGAAGATGATACAACTTTATTTATAATATTTTTATATTTATTTTTTATTACTGTAACTTTAGGTCATAAAATTTATAATATTTTGTTGAGCCATTATCTTCGTGGCATGATGATTCCACACATGAATGGTTTTTTATGCGTCTTATTTTTGTTATGATCACCTCTTTAGCCACTTCTCTCTTCACCAGCTACCATATATTTTCAACTGAATTCATGTCAGGCCTAATGTCCTGCCAAATCCTACAGAGGAATATTTTGCACTGCTCCATATTTTAAAAATGGATAGTGTGTCTATTAATTTGGTCAGGGATCATATCAATTTGTAATTTATTCTTATATTGTTGTTCCCATTACTTTTTATTTATTTGATTTTTAACCCCAAATTACGAGATTCCAATTTTGTTACTTTTCTATCGTATGCAAATATAAAAAACATCTTAATCATTTCACACTGCATAACGTCCATAAAGATCACAAAACTTATTTACAATAGAGTAAACTAAATCAACTCACAATGACGATAACATCAAAACGATCAAAACATTCGAACTGTCAAAAATCCGACAATCGTACCAACCATAATTTTGCTTATAAAGTTTTAAAAGTTGTTGGGGTGAAATGTCAAGCAAAAGCCAATCAAGGATTGAATGGGGATGATATACAACTTATCAATTTTTATATCTTTTTCTAACAATGCTCACAGGTAGAAGATATATAAAGGATAAAGATAGAAATAGCAGAAAAAGTTTTTGGCGGGTTTTCCTCAATAGAGGACACTACTGTATTATTACATTTCAAAGAAACGACAATAAAATTAAAATATGTAGTCGTTTTTGGTACTATTACCCACTTCGTTGAGCTTTTTCTCTTTTTGCCTTCTGTAATAATTTTGAGACATGTCATTGACAAATAACTTGCATTCCGAACATCCTTGACAAGCAAATACATTATAAAAATAAAAAACAGGAAATGTGTATGCGTACAATTTATTGAAATTATCATCAAATTGACATCGAAACATTAATTTTCCCAATATTTTTGCTACAGCAGATAATTTTTAAGAGGATTACATGTTTTAAACGCATTAAAAATCAGGAACTATTTCGTTACGTTTTGTATAAAGATTATAATTTACTAATAGCAAAAAAAACTAATTTGACATTCAGTTTTATCTAAAAGAAACTGGTTAGGGTTTAATAATAATTATTACAATAACGTTTAATACACTAATCTAAAAAATACAATGTTTTTTTTATTATATTTTTAAGGATAATTAATTTTTGCAATAAAAAAATACAAATAATTAGAGTATAAATAAATCAACGACAAAACCATCTGATACGAGTTATTTACGAAAATCAACTCAAGTGCATTTTTTAAGGCTAATTTTGATATTATATAGCTGCGTTTTGTCGAAGTTCATTTGAAATATTTTTTTGTTTAAATTTTGATATCGGGTTCGTGTAATAAGATTTAGAGATTTTAAATTAGTAACATTAATTTTCATGTTACATAAACCCAACATTAGAAACATAAAAATCCTTTTTTTAAATATAATATTCATTATGTAACAAGTAATTCTTTTTTATATAAATGGTAATAATTTAACATCTACAACTTTACTAATACAATATAATATATGCACTTAGTTTAACACCTAAAAAAATTTTTTTTGGTTTCCATGCATCCTTACAACATTATTAAAAGAATTAGAAAATAAAGTTTAATTAATTTTAAAGTGTTGTGGTTTAATTATTTGAAGATGCATAGATATTTATTTAAGAAATAATTAAAAAAAAACATTTTTTAATAATTAATTTAAATGATTTTAAAAAGTTATTCAAGTTAATTTAATAAAAAAGTAGATCAGTATATAGGAATATTGATTATATAAACTTTCTTTAATATAGATTTTTTCTCGTCTTATTATAAACATTACATTGATTTATTTATTTTTTTTTATAATGTCAATAAATTAAAAATTAATTCATTTCTTTTTAAATCTTTACTTTTTAATTATTGACATTATTTTATATTATGATTATTATTATATAGAGTAATTATTATTATTATTAATAACACATAGCTACATAAGAAACAAAGTACAACAATTAGAACAAAATAAAATAAACGTAAATAGGAAAAATTAATAAATAATTATAATTAAACATTACAATAGATTATATTTAGTGCAAATTTTTAGAACACATAACACTTTTTTTAATCTAAATTTAAATCGTGTGCTTTTTTTTAGCGTTAAGTAGATAATAAGTATTTTATTACATAATTAATTTTTTTTAAATAATTTGTTTTCTCTCCATCTTTTTTCATTCTTTGAGATGTTTCAACAAATTCTTTCGTATTTTTCTTTGCATTATTGTCATCAACCATTAAGATGTAAATTATAAGATTAAAAAAAGAATAATTGAGAATATTGAAAAAATGGCACCTCTTTCTTTTTATAAATAATCAATAGTGATACCAAATTAAAGAGTGTAATAATAAAAAGATCAATAAGAAAATAAAATTAGTATGTTCCATAAAATAATGCTGAATCTAATCAAAACGCTTTGATTGATTAAATCGCTACTTTAGTTTCACAAGGTTCTATTTGCATTAAATTCTCCAATCAGGAGTTTTTTTTTTAGTAAACAACACATTTCTATTTAAATGTGGTCAGGATGGTTATTGAGAATGAGGGAGCAAATCGATGATCATGGAAATGAAAATGATTAATTCTGGGGAAATAACATGAAGAGAGGTGATTGATTCAAGTAGCATCAAAAAAGGGGAAATAATGTAAGAATTGTAGAGGGCTAAATATCATAAACTGTTTATGGATGAAATGTTATTCTTAAAATAAAACTCTCATACTGACGACGATTAATAATTGTACCAGCATTGCTAAGCTACATATTAAATCGTATAATTATAATGATCCTAAGATGTGGAAAGATGTCAATGTTCACAATCATTATCTCCTCAACGTACTACAGAGGGATAACTCTCGTGACAACAGCATAGAAAATACTGAGCAATATACTGAACAGCAAACTTTAGCCCTATGCTCAAGAAGTCGTTGGCGGGACCTTTCGGGATTCACTTAAGAAAGGTCGAAATTCACTTATTGCTGCAAATTTTAGAGAAGACCTTTGCACATAATATCAACACGCACCGTCTGTTTGTTGACTTTAGAGCAGCATACAACAGTATCAATAGAACCGACCTCCTTAACGCTACTATAGAATTTGGGATACCAGAGAACTCGGTAGGGTACAAACAAGAGCTTTCAAATAAAACGAAAGAGGAGACATAGAGGAATGCTTTATCACACCGGAACAAACAGCAAAAAATATTAATATTAATCAGAAGAGATTATTAACAGGTCTAGAACAGAACCATCATTGCTGGGGTTAAGTGAAATTTGATGGTGACTATTAAAAGTGATACAATCTTTTTTATTAAACACTCTAATTTTCGATATTTCTTCCTCATTTAAAAAATAAAATTAATTTTATTATTACACTCTTTTTTTAATTAATAATATTATCATTATTATATATTTCCTCATTTTTCATTAAATAGATATATTTTACAATAATAAAATCGTTTATAGCTCGATTATGATAATTTAATGATTTCTATCGGACAATTATTATAATATTTTCTGTAACATTTTGGCGTTGTTTAACATATGTACGCTGTTACCAATACTACTAAAAACCACTGAATCGTTTTTTCTTTTTCAGCGATATTCATTTCGCTTCATCTTTATTTATTAGTTAGTTATTTATTATCTGATCTCGACATTCGCTTCGACGACGTTTATTTTCGCAGTATTTCGGAGTTTTTAACACTTTTTCCCTTTATTTATTATTATTTTTTTTGTTTTAATTAAAGGGACATCACAGATACAAGTTTTGTGTAGTATTTTTTTTCCTAGTTATTATTATCATTTTTTTTTAATTATAGGTGGTCACCACATATTTATTTTAAACAAAAAGTTATTCAACGAACGTCTGTCATATTCAAAACAAAAAAAAATAGTTCAAGCCCAAGACATAGTGCACATAAATCTTTTTAGTTAAAAACGTTTTTTTTTTTGAAGTAATTAAATAAATAATAAAAATAAGTACTTTTTTATCAATAAAATTTTTAGATTTAAAAGAAAAAATTTGACAAACGCCGTGAATAATATCACACACTCTAGATATATTCAATCTTAAAACATTTTTTGTTTTATTTATGTAATAAATTTCTCTTTCGCACGATATCACATTTTTTTCCTCCTCTTGTCATTTTATAGACTAGGATTTGTGTTATTATTCATCTTGCTGCTTATTTTTTTATTATTTTATTTAAATCGCTAAGTTCTTGCATTTAGATCGATTTTTTTATAAATCGATCATATATCGCTCGCTTTTTACGTTTTTTATTTTTTTTTTAAATGGTCTAGATCACTTTTGTAGCTCAGGTACTCGATGTTGAAGTTATTTTGTTGTATGTATTTCATTTATTATTATTTATTTTTTACTTATTTACAGGATGTGTGTTTTTTGTGTGAAAAAACCCGTTTTGTTATTAATATTTCATTGGATTTTTCTTAATTATCTTTTTAACAAATTTATTTTGTTAAAAGTGTCTAAATCTCCACGGATCTTATTGTTTATTAAGTTTTTAATAACACGTTTTGGAACTTATTTTGTAATATAACATTAAATTAAAACGAACAAAAAACTTTAAACAATAATTATTTTTCTTTCGGAATGACTAAGAAATAGCTATTTAGTTAAGTTAACATAAAAAAACTGAGCCCTTGGTTGACTTGTTCTTTTTGGTCAGTTATTATTACTATCACTATTGCATTTCTACGTGCTATTTCACTTTTTAATACAAAAATTAACCTCTCAACTTGTTAGAAACTAAAAAAGTAAAGTTTCAGTTATTTTAATTACTTTTTCTTATGTACAACGGTTGGACAAAGTGTATCACAAACATTAATTAAACGACAAAAAAAATTAATTAAAATTTAAAAAAATGCATTTTTTATCTCAATTAATCATTTTGTTTTAACAACTTTTTCTCTCTAAAATTTTATTTTTGCCACATTCACAAAGAAGATGATATTATTTCTTTTGCGTTTTTGGCATCATCGTATCACACACAACCTTTCTTTCTTTAAACGAAGAACAGAAAATATTTTTTTATAATAAATAAATGAAAAAAAAATCCTCTTTTTTTCCTTATTTTTTTTTAACTCTCGATCGTTGTTTTTCTCAGTATCGATATCACAGATGTTTTTCAGCTTATCACTAGAGGTATTTTTTAATGTTTGTTGTTTGTTTTTGCTTACTTGTTTCTTTGTTACCTTATTTATATTGGTTGTTTCATTTGTTTAATTATTATTTTTCTTCTATACAAAAAACGAATTAATTAATAATTAATTTCAGCTCACTTTTTTCTAATACTTCGCGTCTTTCTCCCTTTTCTTATTATTATTTATTATTTTTACGTACGCTTTGTGTTGGTTAAAAATATAAAACGATTATTTAATTAATACTCGAAGGAAATTAAAAATCGAGCGGGGTTACGGTATTTCGTGTTTTAGTTTCGAATCGTTTCTTTTTGGTAGAAATCGGAGTTTTTAATGCTTACTAACTAAGTTGTTGGGACGACGTGTTCTGACTTAACGGAGATCGGAGAGTAAATACGGTGAGATAAATTCATCTGAATCGCCTTCAACTGGATCTAAAATCACTGGGTGTAACTGCGAATTTGGTACTGGTTGCCATGGTTTTCCCAATATTTTAGATATTTCCTATAAAAATAATACAAAATGGATTAGTAAATTAGCAACAATACATTATTAAATCATTAAAATTTTTGTTACACAATTTATTAATAGTATATTAAAAAACAAGTTTCGTAAGACACGTTTGAAATGCACGAATTCAAGTTGAATGAATGAGTGCTTTAAGTCTTATGAAACGTGTTTTTTATGCTATTTTTTGTAATTCGCGTTTTTATCCTTTTTTTTCTCAAAAATAAAATAAATTTTGACAATGTAGGGAAATAGGTATGTAGCAGTTGGTAACACCGTAACACTTGAATATATAGTTTATTTTTCTTCTATAATACCTGTCAAAGTGTTGTAAAGTTGGCAAAACTAACAGGGAGTTTTGTTATATGATGTTTTGAAATAAATATGTCACACTGACGTTTAAGCTTTCGCTATTCAAAAAGAAAACGTGCATAAAAAAATGTTGTGGGGTGTGTATTTGGCATTTATTTACCTACAAAAGGTGTTTTGTTCTATTTAATTACTATGTAGCACGTTTTTACAATAAATATGTACTTGATTAAAATCGTATTTATCTAAACATTTATTAGTGTTTTAACCTCAATTATTTAGTTACTGAAAATGTTGCAAAAAATCAGGAAAACAACATAAATTTTATAAGGGTCCTAGATAATGCCAACAGAAACCCTAAAAAATTTACATTGACAAGTATTATAGAAAAAAAACGAACTATAGAAATTTGAATTGACAATTAGAAGCTGTCAAAACACAAAATGTATTCACCTGAAAAAAATGTTTCATGTACACCTCTCAAACTAAGAGAAATTGCTCAGTGTTCAATGTCCTTATCATTGTGGACCTGGTATTCGATGCTAAGAACGTGTTTAAACATCCATAGACAAAAATTGTCACATTGACAACTATAAAAATTAATGACCCAATGTCATCAACTTGAAGTGGTTCCATAAAATGTTACTAAAATCTCATTACAGTATCGGATGCTGTAAGGAGTCTCATTACAGCACCTGTTTGAGTACTGTTATAGCTTTCATTACCGTAGCGAATTACAAAATAGTATATTAAAAAACAAGTTTCGTAAGACACGCTTGAAATGCACGAATTCAAGTTGAAAAACGAGTGGCGAAGCCACGAGTTTTTTAATGAATGAGTGCTTTAAGTCTTATGAAACGTGTTTTTTATGCTATTTTTTGTAATTCGCGTTTTTATCCTTTTTTTTTAACAAAAATAAAATAAATTTTGACAATGTAGGGAAATAGGTATGCAGCAGTTGGTAACACCGTAACACTTGAAAATAGAAATTTGAATTGACAATTAGAAACTGTCAAAACACAAAATGTATTCACCTGAAAAAAATGTTTCATGTACACCTCCCAAAATAAGAGAAATTGCTCAGTGTTCAATGTCCTCATCATTGTGGACCTTGTATTCGATGCTAAGAACGTGTTTAAACATCCATAGACAAAAATTGTCACATTGACAACTAGAAAAATTAATGACCCAATGTCACCAACTTGAACTGGTTCCATAAAATGTTACTAAAATCTCATTACAGCATCGGATGCTGTAAGGAGTCTCATTACAGCACTCGTTTGAATACTGTTAGAGCTTTCGTTACCGTCGCGAATTACAAAAAATCTTTTACAAACTTCAAGGTCAAATTTTATCAAGTGTCCTCATAAAATTTATGTTATTTTATTATGAAAATGTATGTTTATTTTATTCCAATTATTCATGTATAAATAAATATAAAACCAAAAACCTTATTTTGATTTTTTTTTTGAATAAAGAAGGTTAAAAAAGTTATCTGACTCGAAATTCCCTACTAATCTTGCCAACTTGACAACAATTTGACATATATTATAGATAACGAAACAGAATTTAGGATAAAGTTTGTTGTCATATTGCAAAATGTATGAATAAATACACAATAATTACAGAAAAGCTTTCAAAGGAATTGATAAGAAAATAGCTTTTGTTCAAAATTGATGCTATTGGGAGATAGCTTGATGGATTGCTTCTTCACCGTCATTTGAATCACTTTCTGCTATTGAATTACTGACGTTATTTGCAGTAGTAATAGATTCTTCAATACCATCCTTCTAGTAGTTTTCATCACTCTCTCTGAAATACTTATACATTGAAGTTCTTATGCAGCACTAACATTGATGTTTTGGGTTCCCTTGGTTTTTTTTACTTTTTGATCATGAGTAACATCAAAAATTAGTTTGAACTGAACTGGTAAAACTTACTCTACAAATAATTTACTACTTTAAACACTAAATAAATGATAAGGATCAATAAGAATAAGCAACCACAAAAAAAAACACAAAAAGATTTCAGTAAAACAATTATTCAACGTCCCAGTGTATGCATTGTACAGGGATATTATCAACACTCATCTCACTTTTTACAAAACTAGCTTGTGAATTACATGATAATATGATAAAATAAAGTAATAGAAATCTTACCTTTCTAGCATTAACACTTCTAGATCTTGAATATAAAATATCTACGTTCGCTATTTCTAATTTTTTGAGTGTATCAGTCCTTAATCTCGCTATTGCAACCAGATCTTCTTCCGCATATTTATAACCTAAACAAAAAAAAAAAATATTAAAGTGTACAGATAATTCTAGATTGAATAACACAAATACTCGTAACAAGAACTTTAACGTTAAAAATCACGTTTAAAATTTAATTTATTATTTGAATTTGGAATTGAATTGAAAATATATAAATAAAACTATCCATATTGCTTTTGATTTCTTGACTGTTGTAGTCAAAAATATTTAAATTACCCATAAACGTTATTTCTTCTAATTCACTACATAACCATGCAAGAATAATAAGTGGATCGGGATCTGGACCATCTGGATATAAATTCCTTCGTAATGATGCACTTAAATTCCACGCTATTCTTTGGTTATTCAAGGAATCTATCCACATAAAACTACGTAAAGTTTTTTCATAATACCTCGATAACAGATCTAAAAGGCGTATGTTTATCTAAAAATATATAAAAATTAATATATAAATCGAAAATGTTAAAAGTATCAAAAATGTTACATTTTCACAAAACAATGCCCTAAAATGCGTTAATCTCATATTCCTTTTTAAAAACGGCGGATTTGGATCAATAACTTCATCGTATGCATGTATCAAACTAACTCTAACCCCACAATTCGGATGAATCTCGGTAAAATCTCTCCATGCCTCCTCGGTTGTGCCACAATGTTCCTCCCAAATACCATGAACGTGTATGACTAGTCTTTCAAGGTTCTGCGCGGCCCTTAATGAATGTAAAAATGTATCGCTTAATGCATCATAATCCGTACTGAGAATCTATAAAACCAATTTAATTCAGAAATTAATTTCAAAATTTATTTTTAATATTTACTTGTAGGTTAGAAAATGGCATTAAAAGTATTCCATCATAAGATAAAATATAATAGCTGGCCGGGTCATCCTTAACGGAAGCCAACCCTAACGTGGTAACTTTTTCAGGGCGAGTTTTAGCAAGTATATGTAAATACTGTGGTACATGTTGTAGTAAATCTTCATTCATTCCCAAGCTGAGTCGTTGTAATGGTCTTCGGGCGCATATGTTCATTATGTGTTGTGCCACTGGCATTTCCTTATCTTTTCTGTGTGAAAAAAAAATGCGACATGAAAATAACTTAAATAATTTTTACAACAATGCACTCAAGATAAAATTTACAGTCGTCATTGCTAATAGATTTTTCTAATATGTTTCTAACTGGTTAACAATATTAATAAAAATTACAGTTAATAAAAAAAATTGTAGGAAAACACTTTCTGTTTTAATATAATTTACATTTCAGAGTATTAAGTTTCAATGTGCCTTGAATACTTTATACTTTATAAAGGGGGTCATTGTATATGGTCTACTAAGCATAAAAAACGATCTTTATCAGAGTATATAGTGAATTTCACTTGAGATGCAATAGACAAAAAAGGAATTTTCATAGAATATGTCAATATAATTTGACATTACAGTAAAACCTCGATATAACGGATCAATACGGGGAACGCAATATCCGTTATAGCTCAATAAAAATATACAACAATCTAGCGCTGAATAACAAATCAAACTAGACTAACACT